AGGAAGACAGAAGTCTCAGGAAAATCTGCAAATTACAAACTAACTTCCCTCCAACTAGGTATCCAGTGCAGTGGCCAGCAAAACATTGCAAGTACATACCTAAAAAACAATGCACTATAAATAACGTGTGCTGTATTTTTCTAAAATGGGGCTTGAAAAATTATTCTTCAGCACTCTACCCTCTTGTATGACCCTGCTGAGTTGGTTGTTCATGCTGGTTATGGTGGCATCTGTTGCTGGGAAATCAATTGCTTCCATCCATCACTGGTTTCAAACAACTCTATTTTTGCTGTATACTGTGAAGAGGAGCAATGAAAGAGGGTTCTAGTCCTTAAGCAGCAGTATGGGAAGACAAAGTGTCTGTTATAAGATACTCAACGTTCTAAAAATGGTCAGTTTCAGGCTTTTTGAAGTTTCTAGTATCTAATATTCTATGTATAAATTATGATTACTTGAAAAAAAATCTTTTCATCTCACTAGGAGTTTCCTAGACAGAGACTTTCAGTCCTGGTTTGGAGTCACTAAAACATGAGAAAAAGTCAAAATTTTAAAAGATGTTACCCAATAAACCAATAACTAAATATTTTCTCTATTCCATTTATTTGTGGCGATATTGCTTGGGATAGCAGAGGTAGATTATAACAAAGTTCATCAAAGCAGTTCTTTTTCTGTGATTTTTCTGGGTATTGAAAAATTTTCAGTCTTTACAGAGTAAGCAGCTGCAAAATTAACAGCAGCAGGAGTTCTAGGGCTCTTGCAATGAAACATGTGAAATTGCCTAAGAATTGTGTCTTTCACTGTGTATGGTCCTTTGGCGGAATAGAGGTTTGGCAATACATGAAAAGTTTACTCCTGTGATCACAACGATCACTCCCTTTGAGGGATTACAAGAGGCTAGCTAGGTTCCTCCAGCTTCTCAGGGCTTTAAATTACTAGAGAATTCAGAACTTCTGAAATTGATGCTGAGGATCTGATGTTGCAATCGTGCCTCAGTGGAGGCATTGCAAAGGTAAAAAAGACTTACTTGCAGGGAGTGCTGTCATGCTGCAGTACAGGTATTCTAGCAAAAGATCAGATGTGGCATTAACAGCCCTGCTCTGACTCTTTGCTATGGAAAGTCTATGTTTTGTTTCTGTTCAAGAGTTAAAATGTGTGGTGTAGAGTGCAACTAGAAAGACATCTCTTTTGTCAGAAAAGCTGTCACACAGCTTTGATCAGCAATTAAGATGAATTCAAACTTGTACTGAATTATTCCCTATCATACCCTGCCATGCTTTCATGGGAGACAGTCTTAATTCTCAGTCTCTGGGCTGTATTCACCTCACCTGGATA